AATCTCGGTAAATATAATATAGACATATATGAATATCAATCTTGGGGTTTCAAATAGAATTTGTCTACATTATACGATTGTTAGTAATTTGTAGACATATATGTATTCTACTTTAAACGGGACTGTCAACAGATATTGAACTATCGTACGAACCGTTCAAATTGAAAATACCAATTGTGATGAAGATGACTGGGAAGCTAATATGTTCGGTACTTGTTTATAAATTATACTCCCTCCGTTCACTTTTAGTAAATCTAGTTTGATTTTCAAGTTTTAAAAAAAGAGTTTTAAATGTAAATTTAAGAATTTATATAAATAATAATTAAAAATTATTTTTGTCAAATAAAAATACTTAACAAAAACTACATATAGGAACGAAAAAAATTTCATATGTAAGAAATGCTATGCTACTTCATCTGTAATTATCCGAAGTCACATGATTACACATGCACATTCACATGAGATAACATCACCATCTGACTTGAAAAAAAAAAAAAAAAAGGAGGAAGAGCGAATGGAAAATGCAGCCTCAAAGCACATGTACAAAAACACACATGAAAATGGTGTCAACTGTTGTAGGACTCTTGGCTGCTCTAAGAAGCCATCTTCCTGGTTTTCATATGGATCACGGCCCACAACATGGTAGGACCCCTCTTTTCTTTTTGTTGCCTTATCTCTTCCCCTTACATGGTATATCATTCAACAAATCGGGAAAGATAATAGTGTTCACTTTCATCTAACACAAAAAAGTTATTAAACAAGTAGCAAAAAGAGCTCCTTAGCTCATCTTTGTTGATAGTAAGACTCTATTTACAGTTGATGTTGGAAAACTTTCCCATATATTGACTGTTTGTTTCTTGGGAAAATTTTGGGGTTTAGGATTCTTGCTGAATTTCCAATGCAATAGTTGTAGCCCAGAACCTGAGATGTTTCTTCATATCAGAAGCTGCCAACTCCCTTGGCAACTTTAGATTCAATAAAGGAGAAATGGGTCTCTTTATTAGCCAAGCTTCTGATAAGTATGGTCTTGTTACACCTCCTTCCTCTTTCTCCTGTTTAGTATCATCTTCTTCTTCATCCTTCTTAGCTAGTTTTGTGCTGGATTCATTGTTTTTATGAAATCCAAGTCTTTGAAGGCCTGGGATTACCCTCATTATTCGCTAGTTCAAATGTTCTTTCTTGAATATGAAGCCAAGATCTAAGAACCCTTTTACTTCTTCAAGTTCCAAGTCTCTCAGGCTCCTACAACTCATTGATTTTTGCAATTTAGTCTCTAAATTACTTGAGTATCTGTGATTCTTCTAATGTTTCTGCATTGATGGTTTAAAAGAAAGCAACTGACTCTTACTTGTCCCAACACTCAATCTCCTTGGTCTTCTCTTTTCCTTGATGATTGAATCTTCCTTACTAGAATCATCCTTGATATTGCAGCATAGAACAACAAAGTTAGTAGAAGGAAATAAAGAAAGTTAAAGATACTAATAAGCTATATATTTGTTTTTGTTACTAGTGATGAATTCTTTGAGCTCACATCTTTTTCGAGCAGTGAAACAGTTTTTGAAATTTCTGCTTCAGGAAGAGATGATACATAGATGCTTGGTGATGAACTTAAAAGCTTGTTTCGGGGTTCCAGGGTTTTTGTGACATCTTGTTAAGTGGATTTTGGGAACAGAATAATTTGGTGAAACCAAAGACGATCCATGGTTCTAAGGATACTTATGTTTGCCATTGATGGACAGGGAAAAAAGAAAAGGGGAAAAAGTTTGTGGATAGGAGACTCTTGAAAATTCGAGGGGGGATTTGTGGTGGTAGAGAATTAATAAGTAAAGGGCTAAAAGAAAAGGAATATTGAAAGTGGTGGAACTAGAACCATGGACAAAGAAGAATGTGGTCTTCATAATGGATTCGTTCAACTCCACATCTTTTTGCATGCTAAATCACTATCTTGGCCCTATCTCTAATGTGGATGCCATGCATTTCTTAGACCTTTTTAATATGTACAATCTCATACAAAAAACAGAAGATACTTTTTATTTTTTTTTCATAAAGGCATTAATACAAACACTTAGGTAGCATTATGTTCTCTAATTGGGTATGGATTCCTATACTACACATTCTACCCTTTCCTCAGTATAGACAATTCTATCTTGATAGGGCAGGATGGAGCTGAAGATGAGGCTGTAGCCTCTTCTTTCACCTTATGATCTTGTTCCTCTGTGATTTCTCCTCTGTTACCCCCTCTTAAGCTCTAGTTGGTGGACAAAGAAGTTCAAGAAGATTGGAGAAATTGTTCCTGTTTCTTCCTTCTCTCCCTTACCCCTGCATGCCATTCCTTGATTATTTTGCCCATCTTCTTGTCTAGTACTTTGCCCTTGAATTTTGAACCAATCTAATTCTTTTGGTACTAACTTTCTGGTATCTAGAAACCACATTGAATCTCAATCAATCTAGAATTGAACCGCATCAAACCCCACAATTGGGAAACTCTTTTAACACTTGTTTCTCCATTCAAAAAACTCAAATTCAAAAGACTCAAATTTAAAAGACTCAAATTCAAAATTTTACTTAAAAAAAAAAATCCTTCCACTAGAACCAACAAGTCGTTAGTCTATACCCTTCTAATAAAAGAACAAGAACACTGTTAATAGAATCCTTTTTTAACCCTTAATGAATCAACATATTGGAAGAATCATTAAGGATATATCAATACTTTTTATGGCTCAAATTGTATGTAATTCAGATTGAAATTTTGTTTTTTTCTTGTTAAAAAGAAAAAGGATGTTTTATTTTTAATTTTTTTTGCTATAAAAACCCATGAATCAAGTTTGCTCACTTGTGTCACAAGTGCATACAGGGGAAGAGTAATGTAGCTGTAGAGGACTTGAATTGTAACCCTGCAGCATGCAACCACATTACTATGATTGACGTTAACCAAATAAGTTAGAATAGATAATGAAGTGTTTATAGTCAAAATCCTTACGCTAATACGTACGATCCTTGTGATAATGATGGCAATGTGCTCATGATAGCAAGAATCAAGTCCAAATTGTATCTAAAACGAGAAATTATTAGAGTATAAGAGCTTAAAATACTATGCACGAATTATATTTCACTTAAATATTGTTGAAGGCGACTCCGAAATTGGAGCCAACCATTATGCAGTTCAAAACTTAAAAAATAAAAAAGAGGAAAAAGGAGTAAGCAGACGGTTCTTGGGCCTGTGATTATGCTCTGGGGATTGGAGCTTTGTTATTTAAAGTTGAAACCAGTACAAGGCTTGGGGCCCATGGGCCCCAAAATATCTAAAGCAGGAGAATTATTGCGTAACATGATGGAAGGTAGTTTGTTTGTTTTCTTAATTAGGAATCCAACTAATTGACATAGCGACAATCCTTCCTAATTTCTCCTTGATCGCCGGTGAGCGGATTGTTTTCCGACAACAAGAGGATGGCCCTGGAAAATTGGTCGTGGAAATACCCATTATCGGCGGCCATCTTCTCCACAAAAGGAGACGTAAGTGGATCAGAAGCCAACGCCTGGTCCACTAAGAGCAGTCCTTTGTGTTCCAACAAGTGTTTGTAGTAGAAGTTGTCAAGAATCATGGGCGTTTCCCAGTCCTTTCTAGCGTACAGCACCACTTTTGGGTCAGGATCCGGCGTAGGACACCTTCTCTTTAGGTACTTAGCGAAATCAGGGTCCAGTGTTGGATCAACAGTGGGGTAGAGCCTGTGGACTAAGTTGACACAATGGACTCGTCCGAGGGAATGTGCTCCTATACATAAATGGACATTAATTTTGGCTTAAAATTTAAAC